GACGTGACCCCACGAACCCCCATTACCCCCAAACTTCATCATGGACTATATTTTTAAGGTATAAAAGTCTTAAGTGTAAGACTTCTGAGAAGAAATGGAGATCTTTTTAGCAGCACAAAGGTTGGACATAGTTCTCTCCTTTCAGTTTGGGAACCATGAAAACATTCCTGCCCCTCTCCCTCACCACAGGACAAACTAGAGTAGGAGATACATTTGCCAGTTACCAGGAGGATGTCACATTTCACTGACAATAAGTTAACAAGAGAAAAACTATGTTCCAACCAGGTCTCTAAAGTGGTTGAAAACAGTTGTTGAAGACGCTGTTCTCAAAACCAGAGCTTCAACCAACTGTAAACAGAGAGAGAGAATTCTCTGCAGTTGGCATTAAAATCCTGACCTGATAATTCTCTTTCTGATGCAAACCAGCTTAGAAACAGAAGAGAAGACACAGAAGGAATTGACTTTTGAATGTTGGTGATCTTTAAGCATCTGGAGTTAGTCCTCTGTATATACTTGCTTCCTATGATTTTAAGTCACTCCTTAGACTTCAACTACCTTCTTTATGGAACTGAATTCCACTTCCCATCTCCAGCCCAGATTTTTTGCCTCAGGGGTAATGCTGCTAGACAGCTGTTTGGATGTCATACAGACATTAATTTTTTTTTTTTTTTTTTTTTTTTTTTTACTTTATCTTCCTCCTTCACCTCCCAAATGAGTTCTTCCCCTTACATTCTTTGTTTTGGAGAATGACACCATCATCCACTAAAGACATTGGAATCATTCAACCCACTACTAAATCTCTTATTCTACCTCCTAATTATGTCTCCAGTATCTCCCTTTCTCTTCACCTCCATTTGCCATTATAGCCAATCAGAGCCTCATAATGTTTCTTGGTTCCTAAAAGCTCATTTTCACTGGTTTCCCTGCCTGCTGTACACTGCCTTTTAGTCACTTCTCACCAAAGGCAGATTGACCTCTCTATGGTATAGATTTAATAATGTCACTCTCCTTGTGGCTTTCCATTGCTTTTAAGATAGTATATTTCATGATCTGAACCCAGTTTTCTAGTGTAACCTCATATGTTGCCAACTTTCAATTCTACGATAAATTATATTCCAGCCACACTAAATTGCTTGTGGATCCCTAAATATGACACATTCTCTATCATGCCTATGGCCCTCTATCATGCTACCCTCTCTGCCCCCTCTACTCCTCCAACCACTCAGCTAACTTCTTCCTCCAGGAAACCTCCCCTGAACCTCCCAGTCAGCTTTTAAGTGACCCTCTCATGTGTGCACAATATACCTGATGTCCCCTCTATCACATCCCTTTATACTCTACTGGAATTGCTATATGGAAGGAAAGCATTTAGGAAAAAACCTATACTTCTTTCCCTCATATTCTCTGATAACCCTGCTCTTTCCCCATTTAGAGCAGAGGGGCAGTCTATACTCACTACCCTCCAGAGTTAGGCTGTTCAATAAAAAATCCGAAGAGCAAAAAATGAGTTAATAGAGCTTTTTGAGTTTCCCCAAATAGACTCAAGTTGGCAGTTCATTGTTTATGTTCATGTTTATTCATTTTTGAGACAGAGAGAGAGACAGCACATGAGCCTGGCAGGGGCAGAGAGAGAGAGAGGACAGAGGATTCAAAGGGGACTCTGTGCTGACAACGATGAGCCCGACGTGAGGCTTGAACTCATGAACTGTGAGATCATGACCTGAGTTGAAGTCAACTGATTGAGCCATCCAGGCACCCTGGAAGTTCATTGTTTAAAGAAGAATATTTTTAAGGATCAAAGGCCTAGGTCCTAAATTATTACAGCACAAAGTTTCTTTTCCCTAAACTGATTTGGAAGATCCTATGGACTGCAGCCAGAGAAAAGGGAGGCTGGAGCAAGAGATAGTAAGCCGTTGATGAATGATCTGAGGGTGGGTAAGGGTGGGCGGGGAGAGGCTATCAGAGACGGGGCCCGAGAGGGCAAGAGAACACTTAGAGTTTCACTTCTCATATCCAAGAAGGGAACTTGAGGAGCTGGGAGTAAGTTGGTGAAAGGGCCTCTCAGTGGGAAATGGGAAGGCACCGTGTGTCCTGAGTGAATTGGTGACTGGAAACCAGACATGAGCCCACACACCACAGCAGATGCCCACATGCTAAACAATGATGTTCCTTCCACTGATGTCATGGAACTAGTGGAATCTAAATGCTGCCCCACGGAGAAGGGCGTGGGGGAAACCCTGAATTATCTATCACTCTGCATTGACCAAGAGTAAACTTCTCACTACAAACATAGTGAGAGATCAAGATAGAAATTAAATATGATTATAGAAAACAAGCTAACCAATTTTTACTGTCCTGAGTTTATACCCTAGGACTCCCACTCATGGCATCTATTTAAAAGCCAGCTCTCTCCACTCATCTGGAGACTCACTGAACACAGGGACGAGTTGTATTCATCTTTGTAACCTCAGTCTGGGAGTAGAGAGTCCGTAAATGTTCATCCGTTGAAAAAAAATGAATGAATGACCTGGATGATGAAAGATGAGGATCTGGATGGTATTTTCCAGAAGGCAGAGTAATTTCCCTTGATCTGATGTGATGGTCCTTAATGAAACTGGAGCTGAATATCAGAAACAAATGGTATATTATCTGTTCTTTTGTCTGTTAAGGTAAGTTGGTTCAAATAACTCTTTTTTTTTAATGTTTATTCTTTGAGAGGGACAGAGAGAGAGAGAGAGAGAGAGAGAATGAGCAGGGGAGGGGCAGAGACAGGGAGTCACAAAATCTGAAGCAGGCTTCAGGCTCTGAGCTGTCAGCACAGAGCCTGACGCGGGGCTCGAACTCATGAACCGCGAGATCATGACCTGAGCTTAACCAACTGGGCCACCCAGGCGCCCCAGTTCAAATAACTCTTAATTAGCTGTATTTATTTTTCCATATATAATGTGAATTTAATCATTCTCATTTAATCCTCTTGTTGACAATGTTATAACTAAATTGAAGATTTGTTTTATTGTCCACTTGTTTTTTTTTAATGTTTATTTATTTATTTTTGAGAGAGAGAGGGGGCGGGGGGGGCAGAGAGCGAGGAGGACAGAATCCCAAGCAGGCTCCTCGCCGTCAGCTCAGAGCCCAACGCAGGGCTCGAACCCACGAACCTTGAGATCGTGACCTGAGCTGAAACCAAGAGTCGGATGCTTAACTGACTGAGCTACGCAGGCACCCCTGTTGTCCACTTGTTATGTTGTATAATTTACTTTAAAATACTTCAACATAAGGGGCGCCTGGGTGGCTCAGTCGGTTAAGCGTCTGACTTCGGCTCAGGTCATGATCTCGCAGTTCGTGAGTTCGAGCCCCGCGTCGGGCTCTGTGCTGACAGCTCAGAGCCTGGAGCCTGTTTCAGATTCTGTGTCTCCCTCTGTCTGACCCTCCCCCGTTCATGCTCTGTCTCTCTCTGTCTCAAAAATAAATAAATGTTAAAAAAAAATTAAAAATAAAATAAAATAAAATAAAATACTTCAGCATAAGTGTGTGTGTGTGTGTGTGTGTGTGTGTGTGTGTGTGTGTTGGTTTTATTCTATATGCTAGGAGTACCTAATTAACATTCCTAACCTGGGATAAACTGTCCAGAGGTGCTTAGTTAAAATTTTAAGAAGCCCACTCAGGAGTCTACTCCAGAGTACTAGGAGTGCTTCAACGATGTCTATCTCTGTAGTCAAGGGTTTATTCATTAGCATAATTGGAGTTAGAAATAGTTTTTCAAAGGCAATTGGAATAGTGTTCAGTATATGTAAACTGACTCGCAAGGTACAGACACCCTCACTTGTGCATGAACCTCTCTTGTGCAGCAGCCTAATATCTCTTGGTATGATGCACCAGCCTAGAAGTCCCATTCGGTCCTGTGTCCCATCTCTTACCAAAGGACTTACTGTCTGATTCTGACTGGATGGCTAGCTGATCCTCCCTAGAGAATACTGCTATATCTGTCACTAGTGAAACTGTCATGAAAGGGGACTGGCAGAGTGACCAAGGGAGGGAGCCAATAAGAGCATATTGCATGACTCTTCGTGTCTGTTTGCTAATAAATGTTCACATTTGTGTTGCAGGATTTGGTTTGAGATTTGCTTTTCTTGTAATGTACCACTTTGTAACAAGTTTGTTGGGAATGAGACCTTGACCCTTCCTCTCTCTACCTTTAGTCATTAGAGGTCACCGTTATTTGCCAAAAGAACCCAACAGTTGTGAATGAACAAATTGGTCTAGATTAGTTGACAACACAACACTTAATACAATGCACATTATCAACACTTTTTCCGGATTAATATTTTAGTTTTCTGTAGATAGAGATATAGATACACACAGATATCACAACTAAAGAACTCCCATATTGTTTATATTTTGAATACCCTGACTCTTATGTTTTCATTGCCAGGCTGACCCTGGGATAGGTCATCCACTGAAATGTTGCTGTACTCCTCATTTGAATTTCTTTCTGTCCTAGACTTTATCTTACTTATCTCTGGTTGAACACACTACAATATCTCCCTCGGATAAAGCCCTCATCCTTGTTTGCTGGCCAGAATGTCATATAACAAGATAGATGAAGGACTATGGTGGTATCAGAGTCTTCCTCATTGCAAATTCTATTACCCACTGGGATCATAGATAATCCCTACCGAGGGAAAGAAAAAACTCAGTATTGTCATGAGGTGGTAGATCCAGGTCCAAAGTAACTGGGGGCAAAATTACAGAACAGGTACCTTGTGAACATCAGCTGAAGACGGAGAGGGAGAAGACTCCTCTGATTGTAGGCTGCCTTCCCATCACTGGGTAGACAGCAGACTAAGGGAAGTATTGTCCAGCTTTTCTGGGATTAAGGAGAGCACCATGGAGAGAGGATGAGTATCCCAAGAGAGCATCTTTGTAACAAGTAGGTTTTTTTACCTGGTAGCCATATCTGCCGATAAAATATGAGGTTGAAGCATTACTGTTCTACTCACCGCAGATGAAGACTTGTGCAGAAAGCATGGCACCTGTCATCCCTGGACTGCTGTCGCTGAGGAGAAGCCGGGACCCAGTGCAAGCTCTGAAAGAACTAATCTGGCTGCAGAGGCTGGCACAGAGGTCCAGAAAGACAGTAGGTAAGGCACAGCTCAGTCACAGGTCACTGAATGGCCAGCACCTGGTTCAGGGTGTTGTTTTGATGGAAGCCATTTGAGTTACAAACCTAGTCAGACTGTCTTAAGGAAAGGAGGCAATTCCTGAAAAAGGTGACAATGGGAACTTCAGCCAGGCTGTAAGAGAGAACCAGGGATGGCTGTTATGATAAGCAGCTGTTCTTTCCATTTACTCACAGCCCCACAGTTGTTCATCTGAGATTGCTGGTTCCTGCCCAGGAGCTTCACTATTCACTCTTGCATTTGCTTCATCTCCCCAAAGTGACTCGGTTTTGCTTTCTGAAACACTGTGGGAGCGGCTGGACACAGACTGGCATGCAGGGGGAGATGCTGAAAAGCAAAGGTGATGTGGAGGGGCGCCTGGGTGGCTCAGTTACTGGTTAAGAGTTCAGCTCTTGGGGCGCCTGGGTGGCTCAGTCGATTGGGCGTCCGACCTCAGCTCAGGTCATGATCTCGCAGTTTGTGAGTTCAAGCCCCACATTGGGCTCTGTGCTGACGGCTCAGAGACTGGATCCTGCTTTGGGTTCTGTGTCTCCTGCTCTCTCTGCCCCTCCCCCACTTACACTCTGTCTCTCTCAAGAATGAATAAACATAAAAAAAAATCAATAAATAAAAAGCAAAGATGAACCCTTACAGCGGGGGCTCAGCTCTTGACCTAAGTCACTCTCTGGATCATTCAAACCATCATCCCGTCCCTGATCACTGCCCCCATCCCTTTCCTGCTACCACCACTACCACCAAAGGTGCCACTGGCCAGTCATTCTAGAGCAGCATTTCCTGCATTTGCCAGATCATCAGAATCACCTGAGGGCACTTATTAAAAAATATCCTCTGGGCACCTGGGTGGCTCAGTCTGTTAAGCGTCCGACCTTGCTTAGGTCATAATCTCAAGGTTTGTGGGTTTGAGCCCGGTATCTGGCTCTGTGCTGACAGCTCGGAGCCTGGAGCCCACTTAGGATTCTGTGTCTCCCTCTCTCTCTGCCCCTCCCCTACTTGAGCTCTGTCTATCTGTTTCTCTCTCTCAAAAATAAATAAGCATTAAAAAATATTTTAAAAATACACATCCTCAGGCTCCTTCCTAGAAATTGTGGGGTGGGGCCCAGGAACCTCTATTTTTATTAAATATCCCTACGCCATTCCATAATCAGGCAAACTTGAGGACTGCACTGGAGCAGTTCTACAATTTTATTTGGTTAGCATCAGAATAAGCTGGGTGCTTATTACAATGAAGATTCTTACCCTAGAACCTCCACAAAAGATTCTATTTCAAAAGCTGTGAGGTAGGACCCTAGGAATCTGCAATTTAATAAACACTCCTAAGATTATGATAAAGGGGTTCATTGGCTATGCTCTGAGAAGCATTATTTTAGAGAGAAACCCATCTAATTAGGCAGACTCTCAGCCTACAGGCAGTATGATATGGGAGTAGCCTTTTTTCCACCTACTTCTGTGATAGAAAGACTTTGGCCTTTGGGGAAATCCAAGGACATCGAACCCAAACCACTGGGCAGGATTGGAAACCGGCAGAATGGTCACAGAAGTAAGTCACAGTAACAAAGGTAGATCTAACTCTTACACAAAAGACACAAAAAAAGTTGCATTTAAACCAGATGTAGGTCAACCGACCTTTATGAATACTCTAATAAGAAGACAAAGCATTGCTCACTAAAATAGGGAGCTCTTACTGTATGCTAAGTGTTCGAGCTATGCTATCTCATTTAACACTTGCAACAATTTTAATTTGTATTTTTGACAGGATAATAAATGTATTCAAACGCACAGCAAGTAAGTGTCAGAGCCTGGTCTCAAATCTAGGTCCTGTTGAAGTCAAATAACATGGTTTTACCTGCCATGATGTACTGTAGCTGGGCACATGGATTACTTCTGAAGAAATCCACAATGTTATGTTATTATACACACTAGGAGAATTAGGGATTAATAAAAGGGAACCTGAATTTGATCACAAAATCCTTTTGCGGTAAAAATAATCCATCTCCATAATTTACCAATTTTGTGAGCTCGGATGTTAATAAATCGTGTTTTATTAAAATTCCACACCTGTACGGTTTAGGAGAGCCCTAGGGCTCCCCCAAAGTGAACATAATTGAAAGACGCAGAAGTTATGTAAAAGGAAACCAGCTAAGGATCTGAGAATAAGTAATTTCCCATTCCTGCGGAAACGCCACCACTGAATTGATCAGCAGTTGATGCGGCGGTGGGTCCTGCGCCGCCTCAGTGGGCATCGCATTCAAGGAGCCTGCTCCGTGCGTCTTCAGAGCAGACCCTGCGCCATCCGCACTGCACACGGGTCCTCTCACCCACGCGTCACCGGCCGAAGCGGCAGGGCGCAAGGCTGTGTTCCCCTAGCTCTGCCCGGTCCGATGCGGGCTTGCAATAGTCGCTAGGCCCGCTGCATCTGTCCTGGCCGCACGAGGCCTCCGGAGCCCAAGAAGAGGCAGGGGTCTGACCTCCAGTTTTCTGCAAACTCTCCGTGTGTTGAGAGCAAACAGCCATCGTCAACATGCCTCCTGCTGACTTTGCTTGGGGGAGGAGCTTACAAGTGCCCAACGTACTTTTCAAAATCCTCACCTTGAAGCAGTCCTTTAAGATCCAAGCCTACAAGGAAGGGGGTGTTGGGGTTGGAAGAACAAACCGGGCAAGAACAAGGTGTGGTGGCTAAAGGACAAAGGAGGACTGAAAAATAGAGCTGTGGCTCCAGCTCCGACCTGCCCCGACCCCCGTCCTCCCTCAGCCGTCCACAGCAGTTCCTTTGTCACAGAGAGGGCTGTGACTCTCTGGGAAAGGCCCTTCAGTTTGCTTTTGGTCCAACCGGATCATAAGCACAGACAAGAAACCAGCGCTCCCCGAAGCAGTGTGTTCCCTTGAACTCTTTCAAAATGGATGGCAAGAATGGTAACATACAAGTCATTCCCAAACCGCAGACCACCCCGAACCTCCCTGCTGTCAGGGAGCAGCCAGAATAATTGTTTCCTAAGCAGTTGACTTCTCTAGGTCTTTCATTAGTCACTTTATTAACAAGTATTTATGGGCCACCGACTGTAACCCCAGCACTGAACTGAACGAGAATCAGAAATATAAGAGCTACCCTGGGGGCCTGGGTGGTCCCGCTGGTTAACCGTCCAACTCTTGATTTCCGCTCAGGTCAGGATCTCAGAGTTTGTGAGTTCCAGCCCCGGGACTCTCTCTCTCTCCCTCCCTTTCCACACACCCCCACCCCCACCCCACAAGTGCCCACACTCTCTCTAAATATAATAAATCTCTGTAAAATAAATAAATAGAAGAAGAAATATAAGAACTGGCTGTGCCTGGAAGAATCTTTCTGTTTAGAAGAGTAGGTCATATAATAATGAGGGCACAATGAACAGCAGTAGGATATGAGTGCTACCATGAAGAGAACAAGAGATACCTGCTTTTCCTTCAGAGAAAGAAAAGATCTTAAGATGGACCAGAGACATCAAGGGAGGCTTCATGGTGGTGGCAGGCCCTGAGCCTATTAGGATTTGGAGAGCAAGAGAAAAAAGTGCCAAGGGCATTCCAGTTGTGGAGAATGGGGTGAAAGGCATCTCTTCTTTCCACTTACCAGAGTTTTCAAGGCCAGCTCAGATGTGGCTTGCTCTTTAAGCCTTCCACCACGAGGAATGTGAAGATTGATGCCTCCAAATTTCTTTAAGTCTTCAGAGAAAACAAGCCTAGTGTATGTATAGTTACATAAAAGCATCAATGGGATTATATTACATCAGTGGCAACTTAAGTATCACAGACTTTTTTAAAAAAAAGATACTAAACAGCATAGAATTTTAAAAGCTAGCCACCAAATACCTTCCCCTTTCTCTTTGTTTGGATCCATTTAAAATGTTAACTTCTAGGGGTGCCTGGGTGGCTCAGTCGGGTAAGTATCTGACTTCAGCTCAGGTCATTATCTCACTGTTCCTGAGTTTGAGCCCATGTGTTGGGCTGTGTGTGGACAGCTCAGAGCCTGGAGCCTGCTTCAGATTCTGTGTCTCCCTCTCTCTCTGCCCCTCCTCCTCCTCCTCTCTCTCTCTCAAAAACAAGTAAACATTAAAAAAATAAAATAAATAAAATGTTAACTTCCAGAGGAAATAATTAATTGAGTTGATAAGAGCAAAAGCACCTTTCTATATTTGGTGACTTATTTCCTCTGGACTGTATAAACCAAACAGCTGCATTTAGAGCAGACACATAAGATTCCATTATAATTACAGACATTCCTAACCTGCTATTTTTCTGAACATTTGAAACATCAAAAATGGAGCTGAAACGATAGTTGGCATCCTATTTGATTACAAAGAGGCAGTATTCTATGATGTTAGGTGAAAGCTATATTGAAACCTTACACCTGCCCGCAAATAGAATTTTAACTGGCAATTTGGCTTCTAGGTAGTGTATTATGACTTATAAAATAATCTTTTTCTTCTTTCACAAAGAACACAAGGCCACAATTAGTGCCAAGTCTCTTCCCCAAAATTACTTGGCAGTGTTCCCAGATGTTCCACCAGCCTTATAGCAGAAGCTTTCCAACCTATTTGCTAGGTGGTGCTTTAATTTTTTTCTTCCAGTTTAATAACTTGCAATATGTCCCCTCCTTCCTGGTGTCATTGGACAAGAGTATTTTCAACTCTTCTTTACTGTCTTCTTTTTTCAGACCTGAGGTCTTTCTGAGATTGACCTTGTTAATCTAGTCTGTTGCTCTCTTCAAGCCCACACGGTTATATTAATCCCTTAAACAAGCAAATCAAGCTGTAGGAGATTCACATTCAGTTTAAAAGGTATTCTCTAACCTGCAAGTTTCTCAATATATTAATAAATGTTTAATGAGCTAAAGGTTCTGATGTCAAATAAACAAAATTCTGCACACCCTCTACAGTCTATCTGGGGATTTAGAATGCCCATTAGCTGAGAAAAAACTTAGAGAAATCAAGCAGGAAATAAATCTGTTTTGGTTAAGAAAAACTGATTTGACTATAGAATCATTTCCTTCTCTTTTTCTCCCCCACTTCTCTTTCTTTCTTTTTTTTTCTATAAGAACATAATAATTGCAACTATAATAACAATAATGATGATAATAGTTAACATTTACAGCTATTTCTATCCTATCCCTTTAATGATTATCCTAGAAATTTTAACATGCATTAACATGTTAAATAATTTTACTTTTCTTCAGAACCATATGAGTCTTCAAATGTTTCAAGCCAATCATCACCCTCCCTAAGCAATATGCTATCCTCTCTTGATATGTAGCCTCACCAATTAGACATTAATTTTGCCATTGTACATAGTCAATATTTATGCTTTCCATTTTCATACATCACAAATCTTCCTTCTGACATGATACACCTTCATTAGAAGTTCTTTTGTGAAGATGTGTTGGTAGTAAACCATTTTGGGCTTGTGTCTGAATATATCTTTATTTTGCCTTTACTTTTGAATGATTGTATCACTGAATACAGTTGACCCTTGAAAAACACAGGAGTTAGGGGTGCTGACAGTTGCAAATCTGGGTATAACTTTTGACTCTCCCAAAACTTTACTAATAGTCTACTGTTGACCAGAAGCCTTACCGATAACATAGCTGATTAACACATATTACGTATGTTATTATATGCATTATACACTGTATTCTTACAATAAAGGAAGCTAGAGAGAAGGAAACATTGTAAAGAAAACCATAAGGAAGAGAAAATGAATTTATAGTATTGGACTGTAAAAAATCTATATGTAAGTGGACACGTGCAGGTCAAACTCATGTTTTCTGAGGATTAACTGTATAGAATTCTAGGTTGAAAGTTATTTTCTTACAGTACTCTGAAAATGTATTTTCAGTTCTTTTGGGTTCCACTGTTGTTTCTGAGAAGTCAGCTATCAGTCACTGTAGATGTCCTCCTCTCTCTCTCTCTCTCTTTTTTTTTCCTTTCTGGCTGCTTCTTTTCTCTTCTCTATGTTTTCATTGTTTTTAATTTGTCACTCATGTGTATTTCTTTTTACTTATGGTGTTTGTTACTTTGGGGAACTTCCTTGGTTTAAGGTTTGGTGTTCTTAATCCCTTCTTGAAAACATTCAGTCATTATGTCTTTTAATATTGTGTGTCCCCATGGTTATTTCTTTTTAGAACTCAGATTATATATAAGTTGGATCTGTTAACTCTTCTTTCCCTGTTTCTGAATCTCTTTGCCATATTTCCCTTTGCCTTGTCTCTGTCCCACATTATGTGTAATTTCTTCAGCTTTAACTTCCAAATCACTAATTGTTTCTTTAACTGTGTTTAATATAATGTTAAATCAATCTATCCAGATCCTACTTTCAGTTATTATAATTTTCATTGCTGTAGATTCTTTTCAGAATTCTTTTTTCTAATTCTATTCCTTTATATGGATTTATACATATTTATTTTTTATTATATATCTGGTATCTGATAATTATAATATCAGTTTTTGCAGGTCTGATTCTGTGGTTTGCTATTTTTGTTGAATCTCATTTATGGTTGTGTATTTTCTCTACGTGCAGTAGCATTTTGGTGAGTGCATGGAACATACAACCTTAACTATGGGATTTCTTTGAGGTTTGTGTTAAAATAGAAAACCACAAGCCCAGAATGGAGTCAGTTATGCTGGACAAAGTCACCAAGTGGGGCTTAATATCTAATCCAATTGCAGTTTCAACCTCCCCAAGAAATATAGCCTTAACCAGTCAGGAATTTTCTGGTCAGCAGCAATGAGGTAATCTGTCACATGGATCCTGTTTACCTACCCCCAAAAGATGAGGCAATCCATTTAATAAAACTCCCTGTCCTACCCCCTAAGAGAAGGTGACCGTGCCGGAAACAATCTTTTCTTTTCTTTTGCTAATTTGTTCTGCCCCATTTCTGTCTATGAAATCCTTCCATTTGGTACAGCTCCCCAGAGCTCCCCTCTGCTTGTTAGATGGGATAATGTTCAATTCATAAATTCATTAATAAACCAATTATATCTTTAAAATTTTTCTCAGTTGAATTTTTGTTCCTTAACAGTTGTAAAATTTGCTTCCTCAGAGAGGATTTGTTTATTTCTGCTGGAGAGGGACAGTTGCCCTACCAAATATAATACTTATTATTAAGCTATAGTAACTAAGAATATGTAGTGTTGGCACAGGGATAGACAAATAGATCTCAGAAACAGATGTTCACATATATGGCAAGTTCATATATAACAGAGGTAGTATTACACACAATAGGCAAAAGATGATGTATTCAATAAATGATGCATGATAATAAAGAAAAAGAGATCCAAATGGTATAAAATTATATAATTAGAATTTAGGTATAATTAGAATTTCCCTATTTATTATTCATGTTAATCATTTTTTCATGAACTTATTATTTTTTAATTTTTTTTAACATTTATTCATTTTTGAAAGACAGAGTGTGAGTGGGGGAGGGGCAGAGAGCTAGGCCAACACAGAATTTGAAGCAGGCTCCAGCACAGAGCAGCTCTCAGCACAGAGCCTGATGTGGGGCTCAAATCCATGGAACATGAGATCATGACCTGAGCTGAAGTCAGATGCTTAACCAACTGTGCCACCCAGGTGCCCCATTTTTTCATGCACTTATTGAGCATTCTTGTGTTGTTTGTGTTTGTGTACTGATTGATCAAGAGAGTTCTCTGTATATTCTGGAGAGTTCCTTGTATATTCTGGATATAAGTCTTATGTCAGATATGTGCACTGTAAATACTGTCTTCTCTGTTTGTGGCTTGTCTTTTTTTTTTTTTCCCCCCTGTGGCTTGTCTTAATTTTCTTAAAAGGGTCTTTGAAAGAGCAGAAGTTTTTTTATTTTGATAAACTCCAATTTATCATTATTTCATTTAGGGTTTATCCTTATTTTTTTTTTTTTTTGAACTAAGAAATCTTTGACTATCTGAAGGCCACGAAGATGTTTGCCTATATTTCCTTCTAAAAAGTTTTTTCTTATTATCTTTTTAATATCTGAAGGATGTGCAGTGATGTCTCTTCCTATTATTGATGTTAGTAATTTGTGATTTCTCTGTTTTTTTAATCTTAATAATTCTGACTAAAGGTTTATCAATTTTATTGATTAAATAAATTGCTTTTGATCTTACTGATTTTTTAAATCATTTTTATTATTTTCTATAACATTTCAATTTACTCTTCTTTATCTAGATTTTTACATTGGAAGGTTAAATACTTAATTTTAATCCTTTTCTTTCTTTCTTTCCAGAGCATGCACACAAGTTGGGGAGGGGCAGAGAGAGAGGGAGAGACAGAATCCCAAACAGGCTCCCCACTGTCAGCCCAAAGCTCAACTCATGAACCAAGCTAGATCTCATGAACCAAGAGATCCAGAATTAGATGCTTAACCAACTGAGCCACCCAGGCGCCCCTCCTTTTGTCTTTTTAAATATAAGCTTTTAAAGCTATGAATTTCCCTTTAAGAGTGATTTACACACTAAACTGCTAAGTGTTTCAGCTATGTCTCTCTAATTTTAACATGTTGCATTTTCATTGTTATTCAGTTCTAAATGTTTTCTAAATTCTCTTGTGATGTCTTTTCTGACCCGTGGGTTCTTTAGAAATGCTTATTTAATTTCCAAATATCCAGATACTTTTTTTTATCATTTCTGATTTAATTCTTATTATAGACAGAGACCATGATTTTTTATTTATATATTTTTTAATTTATTGAGATTTATTTTATGCCCCAGAAAATGGCTTATTTTAGTGAATGTTCCAGGAACACTAGAAAAGAATGTATATTTTGCTGTTAGGTGAAGTATTCTATTGATCTTGATTAGGCCAAGTTGGTTGACAAATTTGCTCAGGACTTTGATATCTTTGTTAATTTTTTATATAGTTTCTGTGTCAATTACTGAGAGATAAAAACTGAAATCTCCAACCATACTTATGGATTTTCTTATTTCACTTTTAGTTTGGTCAACTTTTCATATATTTGGAGGTCTATTTTTGGGTGCATTTGAGCTGTTATATCTGCATGGTAAATTGACTCCATCATCATAAAATGCTCCCCATTATCCCTGGTAATATTTTTGTTCCAAAGTCTACTTCAGCTTTTTTATTAGTTTTTGCACGGCATAACTTTTCCATCATTTTACTATTTTTATAACAGCTTTATTGAGATATAATTCGCATAACATACAATTAACTCTTTTTAAAGTGTGCAATTCAATAGTTGTTAGCATATTCATAGCTGTGCAACCATCACCACAACCAATTTTAGAACATTTTCATCACCTTAAAAAGAAACTATAGGGGCGCCTGGGTGGCTCAGTCGGTTGAGCGTCCGACTTCGGCTCAGGTCATGATCTCACAGTCCGTGAGTTCAAGCCCTGCGTCGGGCTCTGTGCTGACAGTGCAGAGCCTGGAGCCTGTTTCGGATTCTGTGTCTCCCTCTCTCTCTCTGACCCTCCCCCATTCATGCTCTCTCTCTGTCTCAAAAATAAATAAATGTTAAAAAAAAAAAAAGAAACTATACATCCTTTAGCAGTCATCCCATTTTCCCTATTCACCCAGACCTTGGAACCACTAATCTACTTTTGTCTCTGTAGACTTTCCTCTTCTGAACATTTCATAGAAATGGAATAATACAGGGGCACCTGGGTGGCTCAATCAGTTAAGCTCTGACTCTTGATTTCAGCTCAGGTCACGATCTCACAGTTCATGAGATCGAGCCCCATGTCAGGCTCTGTGCTGATGGTGTGGGGTCTGCTTGGGATTTCTCTGTCTCCTTCTCTCTCTGTTGCTCCCCCGCTTGTTCTCTGTATCTTTCTCAAAATAAATAAAAGTAAACTTAAAAAAAGAAATGGGATAATACAATATGTAGCCTTTTGTGTCTGCCTCCTTTAGCATAATATTTTCAAGGTTCATTCATATTGCAGATTATATCAGTATTTTTTCCATCTAATAATTAAATAATATTCTACTATGTGGATTTACCACATTTTATTTATCCATTCATTTGTTCATGGATATTTGAGTTATTTTGGCTATTGTGAATAATATTATGAATACTTATGTACAAGTTTTTATGTGGATATACATTTTTATTTCTCTTGGATATATACATAGGAATAGAATTGCTGAGTCACACAATAATTCCATGTTTAACATTTTGAGGAATTTCCAGATTGTTTTCCAAAGTGGATGCACCATTTTACATTTCCACCAGCAGTGTATAAAGGTTCTAATTTCTCCATACTTTTATCAACTTTCTATTGTCTTTTTTATTCTAGCTATGCTAATGGGTGTGAAGTGGTATCTCACTGTGGTTTTGATTTGCACTTCACTGATGGCTAATGATGTTGAGCATCTTTTCATGTGCTTATTGACCATTTGTATATCTTCTTTGGAGAAATGTCTATTCAGATCCTTTCCCATTTTAAAAATAGGTAATCTTTTTTTATTGAGCTGTGATGCTTTATATAGCCTAAACACAAGTCCCTTATAAGAGTCCTGATTCAAAAATATTTGTCTTATGCTGAGGATTGTCTTTTCACGTTTTGGATGGTGTCTTTTGAAGCAAAAAGATTTAATTTTGCTAATATCCAATTGATCTATTTTTTTGTTGTTTGTGTTAAATCTTCCATCATATTCCTTTAAGGTATCTGTGTCTTTACATGTAAAATGGGTTTCTTATAGATAGTGTATGGTTGGATCTTGCTTTTTTATTAATCTGAGAATTTGTCTTTTAATTGAAATATGTGGGTCATTTATATTTAATGTAATGTTCAATATATTTGGATTTAAACCTACAATTTTGTTCTTTTTTTCTACTCATTCTATCTGCTATCTATCTATCTATCTATCTTCTCTCTGTCTTTTTTTTTTTTTGGTTTAGTTCATTATGTTGTAGCATTCATTTTATCTCCATTTTATCAATTTTAGCCTATCAATTTTATGTTTATTTACTATTTTATTACCTATACTTAAAAGAAAAACTGGTTGCTCTAGGGTTTATAACATACATATTTAATTTATCCAAACTACCTTCAATAATATTATATCAATTGACATATAAGACATTTGCATTATGTTTCCACTTCCTCCTCTTTTCTTTTATGCCATTAATGTCATTTGCTTTATTTATACATCTGTTATAAAGTAAAGAAAACATTATTATTATTATTACTGTAAAAGGTTAATTATATTTTAAAGAAATTTTAAAATGAGAAAATAATCTTTTATATTTATCTACATATTTATTATTGCTGATTACTCTTAATTCTTTTAAATAAATCCATGTTTTCATCTTGTGTCACTGTCTCCTATTTGAGCAACTTTTTTTCTAACTTTCTTGTAATGTAGTCCTCTTGATGATGAATTGTCACAGCTGTTGTCTTAAAAAAATAACCATATTCTGAAGAATATTTTAGTTACATATGGATTTCTAGGTTGACAATATTTTTCCTCCTTCAGTATTTTATTTTTCATTATTTATTTATTTATTTATTTAAATAATTTTTTAATGTGTATTTTTCAGAGAGAGACAGAGACAAAGTATTAGTGGGGGAAGTCAGAGAGAGAGGGAGACACAGAATCTGAAGCAGGCTTCAAGCTCTGAGCTGGGCTTCAGCACAGAGCCCAGCTCAGGGCTCGAACTCACGCAAGCTTCCATGCTCAGTGCGGAGCCTGATGCGGGGCTCCATCCTATGACCCTGGGATCATGACCTGAGCTGAAATCGAGTTGGACACTCAACCAACTGAGCCACTCCGGGCACTTCCTCTTTTAGTATTTTAAAGATTTTGGTTCATTTTTCTTTCTGGTTTACATAGTTTCTGACCACAGGTATGAATAATTCTTAACTTTGTTTCTCTGTATAGACTATCATTTTTCTTTGGCAGCTGCTAAAATATTTTTCTTTATCACTGTTTTTCAGAACTTTATAATGTGCTTTATGTCACTCCAAATGTGGGTATTACTATGTGTGTGTGAAATCTTATGTGAGGTGCTTTGAACTTCTTGGATTTGTGGGTTTATAGTCTTCATCAAATTTGGAACTGTTTCGGCCATTGATTCTTCCAACATATTTGCTTTCTCTTCCTTTCTCTCTCTTTATTCTGGGATTCAGGTTACATGTATCTTGGAATTCCCAATACTGTCTCAGAGGTCACTGAACTTTTGTTCATTTCTTAAAGTTATTGTTCTCTCTGCTTCATTTTGGATAGATGCTATTGCTATATCTTTTCAAAGTCATTAGTCTTTTCTTCTGCAGTGTGAAATTTGTTGTTCATCCTATCCAGTGGATTTTTTCATTTCAAATACTTAATTTTTCTACTCCTGAAGTTCATTCTAACTTATTTTTTATATCTTCCATCTCTTTTCTCACATGTTCATGTCTTTATATACTTGAACACAATATTAATAACGGTCATCTATCATCTGTTACTTCTAGCATTTCTGTAATTTCTGGATCTGTTTCTATTGTCCTTTTTCCTGGTTAGAGATCACATTTTCCTCCTTCTTATAACTAGCAAAAGAAAAACTTATTGGGTCTGTGAATTGTACATTGCACACTGCACAATTGTACATTGTATATCTTATATTCTTGAGTGTCTGGATTTTGTTGTTCTTTTAAAGAGGGTTGGGTTTTGTATTCATAGACACTTACATCACTCTCAAATCAAAGTAATCTTCCTGAGGACTATTTTTAAGCTTTTCTAAGTAGTGCTAAAATAGTTTTCACTCCAGGAATTGTGTCCTACTTCTAAAGTGTGACCTCTCAAGAATCCCTACTAAATGTCCCAGGTGATCTCCAAAGATTCTCCACCATGGATGATCAAGTTTGAAAACCTTCATCTCTATGCAAGCTGACCCTCCCTTCCCAGTATTCTTTGAACAGTTTGTGCAATTTCACTCTTTTCACGTGTAGCCAGTACTTAACAAAGATTCAAAGGAATCTTTTATTTTTTTAAGATTTTTAAAATTTAATTTATTTTTTTAATTTACATCCAAGTTCTTAGCATATAGTAAGATTTTGTTTTTAGGTAATCTCCACACCCAATGGGGGGCCTGAACTCAAAACCCCAAGTTCAAGAGTCATATGCTCTACTGACTGAGCCAGCCAGGTGCCCCTCAAAGGAATCTTAATGCAGATTTCTGGAGTGCTTTTTTCTAAAGCTTCCTCATTCCTGAATATGTTTATAAAATTCAATAGATGACCATTAATTCTTAAAAGTACCCTATAACAAACAATGAATCTGATTATCATACAAACAATAATATGCATTACTATGTTATTCACTTTGATAATTTACATATACTTAAGTCAATAAAGTAAGTGAAGAAATGAAGTATTATTTCTTTGGTATTTACTAAGTGACAAGTAATTTTATTATTATCCAAATGATAAGATACATTACCAGTTTCAGCCTTGCCATATTGCTTCATGTTGTTCAATAACAATTTCTAGGTGGCAGCAGCAGCTGCCAGAAATTCTGTACTCCAAATTCTTGCTCTCCTTAAGAGCAAATATAGGTCCAGGCCATTTCAGGTAGCAAAATATGCCCATCTCAGTTTGGATTCCCCAAAATCAGAATCCGAGAAAAGAAATTTCAGCACAAGTAATTTATTTGGGAAGTGATTCTGTGAAGAACATTATGGGAATAGGAAAATTAAACACAAACGGGGTAAAGCCAATAAACTGTGAGTTAATGAATTGTGGGTGACTGGGGCTTAATACTTCTGGGGATGTTATAAGAAAATGGATGTAATACATCTGAGAACTGTCCCTGTGAGTGAATGAAAAGCTGAATTCTTCATCACCTACTCCCATCCTCATTGGTTGAGGGCAGCTCCTAGAGTGTTGGCTCTCAGCATTTTTGGTCTGCTCCAGTCTTTAGAGCATAAGAGAATATGGTGAAGCTTACTCTTGAAACTAGACAATGCTCTCAGGAGGAGAGTCACAGGAATCCACCAAAGTGTGTGGGAACCACTGGCAGGTGACCTTCAGAATAGATGAAGGGGATATGGGTGGGGCATCACCAGGGTTCCCCCTTTCCTTTGAAACAGGAACTCATTCAAATCTTCTTTTCTGTTTATCCTAATCAAGCACAACCACATTAAACACCAAAAAAAAAAAACCAAAAAAAAAACAAGAAGGGTAAGATAAGTCACTGATGGACACTTGACCCTGTACTATGTTGTGGAGTAGGGACAGAAACAAAACAGTGACACCACAATTGCTGAATGGGCAAAGGTTATAAAAAATATTCTGTAAGCAAACCAAACTTTTGGCCTTTTCAGCAGATTCCTTCCTTTAACCTTCTGTTCATCTGGCATGAGGTTTGTGGTGCAGCTGGGTCTCCATGGCAGTCAGACTCATGGCTATTGTATTTATATTAGCAGTGGGTATGTGTGGTGTGTTTTTTAAAGGAAGCGACATAGCCCTTAAGTCTGTTCCCAGAGGATAGTTGTGGCCATTATTCTCCCAGTTCTTCATGCTTTGCCCCAAGGTTTGTGAAGGGGAAAGATTTCCTATAGCAAACAGGTGGCACAAAGTCTAGTCAAGCCAATTGCCATTATGATCAACTTATTTTAAGGCCTGAAAGAGCCCTGTCCAAACTAAAGCAATATAGTCATTATTTTATCATTAATTTTAATTTTTAAGTGAATTCTTAAAGAAATAGTTATCAGGATAAATCCATAAGAAGACAGAGTCAGGGACCTCATGAAGAATAATTTCATGGATACATTCACCATCACCATATCTAAGTCTTGAAGTTCTTTGATAGGATAGATACCTTTGTTTCTCCAATGAGAGATAAGTCTTAATTGTCAGTAGGCCCGCAATAGGTAACAATCTGATTTAATTAATTAATTAATTCACTCAATAGTGTCAAGCATTGTTTGAGGTGCTGGGGGTTGTGAACAAAAAAAACAAAATCTCTGAGTTCATGTGGCTCATAATTAATTGGGAGAGACCAATAATAAATAACTAAACATATAATAATCAAGTATCATAATTGCTAAGGCTTAAATCAAGATATAGAGTATCAGGAATACAGAAATGCTGTCTTGTTATTTGTAGTAGATGGCTTCTCTAATAAAGTGAGTTTTGAGCACAGCAAAAATTAAATAAAGTAAGAATGATGCCAGTCATGCATATATCTGGAGAAAAGTGTTCCAGACTGAAAAATAGCACATGCAAAGACCGTGAGGTAGGCATACGGCTCAATTCAAGGACAACAAAGATACCAAAAACAAATGGCCTAAAGGAAGTTATAAGTAAGAGAGAGAGGTCAGAGAGATATTTGGATGGGGTTAAAACACTTGCAAAGCACATAGAGCCTATGAACCAGTGAAGGAATTTGGTCATTTCCCCGAGTGACATATGAAGCTATTGGAGGATTTTTAACTTATACTTTTAAAAGAGCCCTCTAGCTACTGCAGTGGGACAGAGTTGGAAAACCTGAGCAATTAGGATACTATTAGGACAATCCAGGTAAGATGATAGAGACTTGGACCAGACCAGTGCAATAGTTATGGAGATGGCAAGAAGGCATTGAATTGTAGGTATAGTTGATAGTAGAGCCACAGAATTTGTTCAAATGAATATGGGATAAAGAGAGGAATCAGGATGATTTCAAGATTCTTGACTTAAGCAACTGGAAGGGTCGAGTTGCCATTTATGGGTGTAGGGAAGACTGGGCAAAGCAGGTTTGATAGGGAGAAATCACACCTTTGGTTTCCGTTAGTGTTTGAGATGTCACTTAGAAATCCAAGTGGGGATGTCAAGTAGATATATGTGTCAAGTAGAATGTATGTGTCTGGGCTTCTGGGACAAAGTCATGACTGAACATATAAATTCAGTAATCACATTTAAAGCCATGTGACTAGAAGGAATCACCAAGGGAGTGAGTATAGTTATGGAAGAGAAGAGGTCCAATAACTAAGTCCCAGGCTTAGAGTCAGGGAAAAGAGAAGGAACCAATAAAAGAGACATTGAAGTAGCTACCACTGAGGTGGAAGGAAATTTAAGAGAGAATAGTGTCCCAGAAACCAAAAGAAGAAAAGATTTCCAAGGAGGAAGGGAGAGAGAGATCGATTATGTCAATTGCTACTGATGGGACAAATAAGAGGAAGATGGAGAACTAAACATTGGATTTGACATCAGCATCATTTGGATGGCAGTGACCTTGACAAGTATGGAGTAAACGGCTAATATAGGATTTTTTCCTGAAAATGGGTTTCTTTATTTAAAAAAAAGAGTGAACTGAGCACCTGAAATGGAGTGAAGAGGAAGAAGGTAAAGAATGATGAAGGATGTTTGAAGGAAATACAACAAACTTCAATAACTACATGCAAGTTTTCTCACTACCTTTGGCCTCAGTTTTCAGAAGTGCCCAATGAGAGAGTTGGTCTCTGTCCTCGGTTTTATCTTCTGAATAATGGGAATATTTTTTAAGTTTATTTATTTCTTTTAAGAGAGAGAGAGAGAGACAGACAGAGACAGAGACAGAGAATGAATGAGTGGGGACAGGGCAGAGAGAAAAGGAGAGAGAATCCCAAGCAAGCTTCACGCAGTCAGCGCAGAACTTGACGTGGGGTCAGCCCCATCAGCTGTGAGATCATGACCTGAGCCAAATGAGGAGTAAGGCTCTTAACTGATGGGGCCACCTAACCACCCCTAAATAATGGGAATATTGGTTGTACCTATCTTATAGGGGTATGCTTGGGGTTCAATGAGTTAAAACATGTAAATTATTAAATACTTCCTGGACATATTAAGTTTTAATAAATGTTTGCTATAATCATTGTATTGTCACATCATGTTTAATATTCTTATTTTCCCTTTAGCTTGGACATTTCACGACTCTATGTCATCATTATCATCTTGCTTAGAACCAGCCACCCCCGATGGCTAGTTCTAGTTTTGTACTGATATGTAGGGTGGATTTGCTTCCTGACAAAATATTAGTCATGGCTTCCTTGTTGTCTTCGCAGTAAGAGTCAATTATAGATCAGAATGAAGTAAAAAAAAAATGAGTTGGGATACTTTTCCCTTGGATGAGTGGTCCTTTATTGATAACCATGGATGAGTAGATACAAGAGGCTTTAAACTTAGGGTTTTAATCTTAGGTCCACTTGGCTTGAGATAAAACATTCTCTTGGAAAACTGGTTCCTGAGTGGCTTTGGAAATGGCTGCTCTCCACAGTTTATATTTTTTTGCCTGGTTGTTTTTGTAGTGTTTACACTGTCCTCTCCAGCTAAAATTGCTGGGCTGCTTTGTTTCATCTGGACTTTATATTACACCATAATGATTAATCCACTTTGTCCGTGCCAAAAGCAGCTAGCATTTAAGTACCACTTGTAATTTCCACATCCAATGAAGTAATTCATCCTAGCCTGCAGTTTTTACTTGATAAATGTCCAATCTTTGTCTGCAGTGCACCTGGGACCTTTGCTATAGCATCATGATGGTGAGAGATTTTTAGAGTTCATTTCTTGCTCTCTTTCACCCCCTATCCATTTTTCAAATCTGAGGAAGGGTCTTTATGGACATGGGTCTGGTATTGACCAAATTCACAGAGAAAGGAAGGGCTAAGAGAAGGTGACAATCAGTTGGTGTCTCACTGAATTTGATCTGTCTTCCCTCCCTGTGGCAAGGATGGCAACAGGGAGCTGCCTCTTTGCCATGGCGCCCAGTCAGTGAGGTGAGTGCTGCTACAGAGGAGAGGGTGGGAACCTTTGGCTTCCCCTGCCCTGGTTCCTCAGGATACTGCCCAGACTCTTTGAGGTGTGTGTGTGTGTGTGTGTGTGTGTGTGTGTGTGTGTCCATGTGTGCGTGATGACTTTATTTGTATTTTCCAGATGTGGAAGTGGAGATTCAGAGAGAACTGTGTGAGAAGTCACACAACCAGTACGTAGTAAAGTCAGTAAACTCAGGTCAGGCTAATTCCAAAGTCTATGTTCTTAAACCCTGTTCAATACTGCCTCCTGACCCAATCTTATTTCTTGAAGTATACAAGTAAGTGGCTTTTAGAGAGTTGGTGCAAATCACTGCAATCAATTTTACAATGTTTTCATTACCGAGTAGAAGCTGTGTACCCTTTTTCCATCTCCCTAAACCTACTATTCTGCCAGCCCGAGGCAATCCCTCCCCTACGTTCTGTCTGCAGATTTGCTTATTCTGAACATTTCATATCAGTGGAATCATACAATATTGGTCTTCTGAGGCTGGCTTCTTAGAATTAGCATAATTTTTAAATAAAGACAATATTTTAAGAGCAATTTTAAGTCCAGAGAGTTCCCATATACTCCCAGCCCCCACAAATATATAGCCTCCCCCATTATCTCCCACTAAAGTGATACATATGTTGTAACTGATAAACCTACACTGACACAGCATAATCACCCAAAGTCCATAGTTTACATCAGGGTTCACTCTCGATGTTGTACATTCTCTGGGTCTGAACAAATGTATAATGACATACATCTATCAGAATAGTATCGTACAGAGTATTTTCACTGCCGCGCCTATTCATCCCTCCCTCCCTGCCCCCAAACCCCTGGCAACCACTGATCTTTTCACGTCT